GCGGGCGCGCATGGAGATCGCGGCGCGTCGAAGAGTGTCGCGCGCGTCTCGCCGCGCGCGCTGAGTCGGCGTCGTTCACTCGAGCGCGCGCGCGCGGATGCTTTACTGGTCGTTTGTATCGGTATCCTCACTCATTTAATGGCTATAAAATTGAGTCCACGGACCGCACGAAACCCGCGCGCGCTTCACCCGATTTGGCTCAAAGCCACGGGATCGCGCTCGGGTTCGTGCACACGTTGACGTGCCACGGATCGGCCAAGTGGTTGGCCAACTGCTTCACCGGACCCGGCCCCGAGGGATCGGCTTGGTGCTGCGCCATGATGCCGAAGAAGGCCATCATCGCGACGCGGCCGTTGGCGAGCTCCTTGCGCTTCAACGTCTCGAAGTCCTTGCCCTTGGACAAACCAGCCGGGTCGAAGGATCCACCCGGGTACAGGCGCGCTTCGCCGGTGGCGGCTTGTCTTTGAGATTCCGCGAACGCGACCAAGACACCGTTCACGCCGATCACCGCGAACAGCGGCGCGTGCGTTTCGTTGCCGAGGTACTTCGCCGTGGCGTCCCACGTCGTCGGTTGCGCCGAGGCCCAGTCGCCTTGGCCGGCGATTTCGACGCCCACGGCGCCGGCGACGCCCATCATCGCCCACCGAGCGTGCATGAGCTCCGCCTCGCGGTACCGCGCGAGGTTATCGGGCTTTTCACCCAAGTTCAAAGGATCGAACCCGTAGTCACTGCGCGCGCGCGCACGACGCCGTCATCGAGTCAGTCTCTCGTCGCCCGCCCGTCGCGCGCCCGTCCGCGCCCGTCCCGCGCGTCGTCCCGCGCGCGCCCGTCCCGTCGACCGTCCCCCTAATCCACCGCACGCGCGCGCCGCGGTCGCCACACTCCATACCACCCCGATCGCGCGGTCGTCACCGCGCGTCGCCCGCACGCGCCCGCCCCCCAGCGCACGATCGCGCCCCATCGAAGATATCAAAGATACGCACCACGGGAGATCGCCGCGAAGATGCGCCGGGGCCTCCGCGCCTGGGAACCACATCGGTCGCGCCGACGCGCGCGCGGTGACGCGCGCGCGCGCCTTGACGGACGTCTTCGGCGCCACGGTCTGCGTGAACGATCGGGTTGCGGCGAACATGACGACGACGACGCGCGTTCGAATGCCGGTCGCCGTCGAGGCGCGCGCGCGATCGACGCTCGCTGACGTACTGTGGGCATTTTACTTCTATATATATCGCTGTCACGCTCGTCGACGGACGCGATCGACGCTCCGTGACGTACTGTGGGCATTGTAATTCTATATACCTCGGTGTCACGCTCGTCGACGGACGCGATCGACGCTCGGTGGTGTACTGTGGGC